TTTAATTTTGTAATAATTTCTATTGCTCATTTTCTTGGTGAAACTTGTTTTTTTAAATAAATATTTTTCTTGTTTTCTTACTATGGCTATTACATTTTCTCTATCCCTGATGAAGCAAATCTTTCTTTTAAGAAACTATAGGTGTGTACCCAGCTATTCTGCCCGTCTCTTTCCCTGGACAGACTGAATTTTTATTTTTAAAAGTAATTAAAAAAAAGTTCATCTTAATTGAGCTGATGCCCATGCTAATACTTCAGCTGCACTGTCTCTTTGACTCGTTTGAAAATGGAAATCAGATAGAGCCTCACGGTTTTAATTCACCTATCTAAAGAGTAAAAAAGAAAAAAACAACGAGCCAGCTCGGCTAAAGTCAAGAGGTGGAAATTTGATGTTCTGAGATTGTTACATCTTAAATGCAAATGCAACACATAATTTTATGAAGATGGTGACAAATTTTTACCAAAACATAATCATAACCTTGTCCTTCCTCTTTCTCCCAGCTACACCCCAAATCAAGGGGCTTCAGGCATTTCCTACTCAGGTATAGTTGAAACGAGAGGTTGTGTATCTGGTGGTGACTATATTAAAATGATACACTCTCCGGAGCTAAATCCATAGAAGGTTCCATTGAAATGGGAGGTTGTGCATCTGGTGGTGAGTTTATTTTAAAATGATACACTCTCCAGGGCTAAATTTACAGAAGGTTCTATTATTCAGTCCCCACCCTTCCTCTGGATGTAGTGTGAAAGTACTCGGGTCTGAAGTCTCTGCAGCTGTGGCTTCTGGGTTGGGAGCCCCCCAGGCTGCCAGTACAGTAGATTTTCCTCCATGCAGCAGGGAAAATCTCAAAGCAGTGTGGCTACCCAGGCACAGATCTGTTCTGACTGGATAGCAAGAGTGACTATGATGTGGACTTGGCTGTTTAGACTGAAATGCATCGCAGGCTCTGGGAACAAGCACACATCAGTAGTAAAGGCTGTTTAAACCTTTGGGGACAGCCCTATGTTTAGATTACATTAATTCATAAATATTATACTAAATACCACTTAAATTGGACTTAAATGACTTCAAAGATAATGCATTGTAATATGGCTATCCAGAGAGCACTAGTCTTTATGTCTCCCAGTAACTCAGTCTTTGCTGCTTCCTATCCTGCTAGACAGGACCAAAGTTATGAATGGATTGCCGGCTTGTTCATGTGTGATCCGCTAACTGTGTATGTGTGTGTTAGCAGGCATGGGTTTGTGTGTGTGTGTGTGTGTGTGTGTGTGTGTATGTATCTTCAGTCACTGTCTCTGTTTGTCCTCCAGGAAATTAAAAGAAGAAAAGAGAAATAAATAAAAAATGAGAGAAGGGAAGAATTAGACTAGTGGATGACTTGTTTCCTTCTCTAAGGGAGAAAAATTCTACAAGAAGGGGCAAAATTGGTCCTCAGCTCACTTTTGCTGCTACCCGGGGAATTCTCCTCTCTTCTCTTTAATCAATAGCACAATGTCTTTCTCTTCAGAGCCTGGAAAAACAATCTTTCCCAAAGTGCTTCTAATGGGAGAGAAAAGAAGACTCTGAGTTGGCCGGGAGAGTTTGCATGAAACTGGGTTTTCTTCCTTGGGTGTTGTTTCTTTGAATTTTAATTCTGGGCTTTTTTTTTTTTTCTTCTTCCTTTCTCTTTCTGCTTAGCACCCAGATCCCCCTCCCTCAATTGCTTTCTGGTCTCCAGGGGGTAAATTTATCTTTACAGTAATTACCCCATTCCACAGCCTTTCTCTGAGATGGTTGGGTTTGCTCCACAATACCCACCCACTCCCTCCTCCACAGACTCCCAATTTGACTAGAGTAATTGCCTTTTAAGGTGTACTCTACGCATGGCAGGTATTCCATTAACCCTTAGAACACCTTCCTTCTTTAGATACCTGAAATGACAGGTGGCCAACAAATGGATACCCACCTGAAATCTCACATATTTCATTTAGTTGTTACTTCTTTTCTTTTCCTTTTCATTCTTTCTTTCCCTTCCTTCCTTCTTTACTTCTTTCCTTCCTTCCTTTTTTCATTTTACCAACAACATACATATGCCATCCCCACTGGAGGCTAGTGTCTTTTTATGTCTCTCAATTTTATCCCAGTACGATTCATTAGAAGTTAGAAATTCAAGAAGGGGAGAGCAATAGCCACAAACATGCCCAGAAACCAGGCTTAACAAAGGCGTGATTCTAATCCCTAGCCTCATGTTGTCAATTTAGAGATGGGGAAATTCTAGAAGCCAAATGCAACCCTCATTCCTCGAGCCTCATCAAGCTTTTTGACTTAACAGTAATTAATCACCAATGGCAAGCGAGTAATTTTTTTAAGGTGGCCGGAGGCTTATTTTATCAGGATTAGCTAATAAATCAGGCTGCATCACTGAAGGAGGAGTTCAAACTCTTCTAGGACTGAATAAACCAGACCTTGGAAACTGTCTCATTTATTCAGCTCTCCGGGAGCTTCCAGGCACTGTTAGGGACATTGTGGCCCAACCTCAACTATAAAAATCAGTAGGATGGAGATGCAGGAAGTTTCATAGAAAAATATATGCTCAAGCTCTGAAGGGTGAGCTGCGACAACAAGGAACCCAGTATGCCAGAGCCAGCGGGCCTGCCTGCCACTGACTGAGACAGTTTGTGGGAAGAATTATTTAGAAAATGAAGTTTTGCTTGTCCTAGGAATTCTGACTTGTTATATGTATATAATATGTGTATAAATAACATAATATATATGCCATATATACATCTCATAACCTTCTTTACTTCCCTGGTGTAAATAATGAAATTTCTACTTCTTTGGTATAATACAAGAGAGTCCAAATTACATCGGAAACAAAGTGATGGTATCAGCAAGGAATTATTGAAAAGAAACCAAGGAATATTATTAAATTTTATGTTCATTTGAAATAAAGAAGCAAATAAACTGCTTCAATCCAGTTATCGTATGAGGCTCAGCTCCTTACAACTGTCTCTTGCCTCTAGTGGGTTCTGAATTTTTTTTAACTTTGAAATCTTAAATCACCACAAGAACTGATCACTAAGATGGGCAAAAGACTTCCCTGACTATGCTTTTACAATTTTTATTATTACTATTTTTAAAAATGAGGGCATGTTAGAATGACAAAGGTTTCATAGAAACCTTGATTAGCTTCTAGGGAGCTTGATTGGAAAGGGAATAACTACAAAGATATGGTCGACTTGAGAGGGAGGGAGAAAAAAGAAAGTGTTTTCTTTCTTTTCTTCAAATGTCATTTTGAAAACTACCTTCCCATTCCACCTTTCCAATCTCTCCTCTGAACAGACAGGCATTTTCTCCGTAATGAATAAAGGTTGGTTTCTCTTTCCATTATGTCCCCCACCCTCACCCCACCCCAACAAACCCGGTATATTTCCATTCTGCCGTGTTTTTGTGCTACTCAACATGCCATTAACTTTAAGATTTACTCCTCAGCAGGCAAGCTGGAAGATGCTAAAGCCAATAAAAACTGCTCTCTGGGACTCCAACTATGAAGAGTTTGGAGCTCTGTTTAGTATTCGAATGAAGGGAGGGCTGGAGAAGGAGGGTGGTTGTGATAGTGAAAACCGCTGCTGCTTAGAGAGCCAGACAGCTTCGCGCTCTGCACCTAATGTGCTGGAGGATCAGCTCTGTTCATAGCCCATTTGTGGCCAAGGATGAGGCTGCTCTCAACGTGGGGGTGGGTGTGAGTGTGCGTGTTTTCATCTTTAAAACCACCAGCTCTAACATAGCATCTTCGGCGGCTCTCCACACTACTGTTTATTAAAAACGGAACGTCCATACACATCCCCTACAACTTCCTTAGCCCCGTGTTCCTTCCCAGCCCAGCGATCAATCTCTCTCAGAAAGCATTTAACTTGCCCACATAGCTCCAGCACCGATTAATCCCCGCTGCACATCCTATACATTACTGTTAGGGAGCGGAGCACTGGGCTAATTTCGTCACCCACCAGCCACCCACACACATTCTACAACTGAACACGTTTGGGGCTCTGCTTTAAAGATAATAAAACAAGGAGAAAACAGGCAGGCTGCAGACAATTCCCATGACCACTTTCCTAAAAAGTTGCTGGGTTTTAATTCTTTGATTATTCTGTCTCCCCTTCCCCCAAGCACTCACTAGCAATGATTGCTTCAAGGGAGAAATAATGTACTATAAATCTCTCTGCATGGTGAGTTTGGGATAAATTAGGGTGCACCTTTCAAAATGCATATCTTGCACACACATATTTTTTCTCAAAGCCCTGCTTTCCTGGGAAGGGGACTATTAGGCTTCCCAGATCCTCCACTCCACCCAGGGGGTGCTGATTTCTTGCTAATTCTTGCCTTAGGTTTTATCACTCGTTCCTTCAAACATATCCCCCCCAACCACTCACACCACAATCAGATTATTGAGGCACACAGCTCGACAGGGAGAGTTTGCTGTTAAATTGAAATAAAATTATCTCTTTGAATTTGTCACCTCTCTCCCTTTTAGACGGCTTGCACTCCTGCTACTCCGGCCCGGAGCAGAGGATGAAGAGACCATCTCCTGTAGTGTTTTCAGCACCACGGCGATGGACAGCACCCTCGGTCTCTGGCCGGCCAAGCGCCGGCTAGTCCGCTCAGCGTCCTGGGCTCGAGGCGAGCAGCCGTCCCCATCCCAATCTTTCAAGTCACATTACCCAAAAACCCAAGCCCCATTTTCCCCTCGATCTTCTCCCTCTTTCTCTTCATCTTCTGCGCCCGCGGCTTTCCCCATAGCACCGATCCTATCAGCACCTCGCCCAAAACCCAGCCTTGCCCCAGCGAACAGCTCCCCACGCACCCCAGCTCTGGTCTCTGCTGCCCGAGCGCCTCCCTCCACGGCGCCCGCCCGAGGCTCCCTCTCGCTCCGTCTGCCGCTCGTCAGTCGCCGGCCGGTCGTTCGGCCCGCCCGCTCGCTCCTTCTCCCCGGCAAAGTTGGGAGGGAAAGGTGCACTCACCTTTGTGCATGCCTGTGAACCTGTCCTTCAGAACCGTAAGCTCGTAGATTTTGCCGAACTCCTCAAAGAGGGGCTTGAGGTCCTTCTCATCCAGGTTGCGGGGGATCTGCCCAATGAACAGCTTGATGGCATCGTGGTCCTTCATGGGAATGGTCGACGGGTTCCCCGGGCTGTGGCTTAATCCGTTCATGTGCCCGGCGCTGCCCGGGCTGCCGCCGAGCCCGTTGGTACTGAGGCTCGCGTTGTCAGCCTGTCCGTTTGCTAACGTGGCCATCTTTATATACATAGAGAAAATCTTCTTTCCTTTTATTCTTTCTCGCTCGCACTCTCTCGCTCCTCTCCCTCGCTCGCTCGCTCGCGCTCACACACGCACACGCATACACACACTCGGGTTCTCTCCCCTCGGTTTCTCCACACCTCGCTCTCCTCTCGCTCTGCTCTCTCTCTCTTTCTCCTCTTCTCTCGCTCGCTCGCGCTCGCGCTCTCTCTCCTCTCCCCCCTCCCTCTCCTCTCTCCCTCTCTCTCTGTCTCTCTCGGTCTGATCTGCTTTTTTTTTCTTTTCTTTTTTTCTTCTTCTTTTTTTTTTTACATTGAACAGACAGGATCTCTGTCCTTTCCGTTTAAACAGGCTGGACCGGTTCAAGTTCCCAGCCAGACCAGGGGTGGGGGCGGCGAGCGTGCGCGCGCGGAGGAGGGCGCGGGGGGCTGAGAGTAGGCGCGATGGGGGGGCCCGCGCCGCGGCGAGCGGCGGCCGGGGGCAGGGCGGCGTGGGGCGGCGCCGGCCCCACCGCGCCTCCCCCGCCGGCGGCCCCGCGGAGTGGCGGTGGTACGGTCCGAGACGGCCCCCGGCTATAAATAGCGCCAGGCGCATGGCTCTTCGGGAGGCGCTGAGATTCCGGGCCCGGCGGCCGCAGGGAGCGGGTGCCTATTAGGAGCCGGGCTGCTGGCCTCCTCCCGTAGCCTTTTGGGGGTTCTTTTTGTACTAGCAGCAGGTGCAACTTTTGTATTTTAAAAACATTGGTTTTTATTTTCGTGTGGGTACGTAGGGGGGCCGTTCTCCACCGAGCTGCGCTCTATTAGGGCGCCAGGCGGGCGAAGCCAAGGCAGGGATGACGGGCGGGGCGGCGGCGGAGGTGGAATGGGCGCTTTTTTCTCCCATCTGGCTTCATTTATTTATTTATTTAGAGTAGAAAAGCGAGCCGGCTTGGAGGGAGTCCGCCCAGCAATCCGAGTGCGCATTGATCAGTGTCGAGAGAAAAAAAAGCTACATAAATATATATTATGTGGATAAATCTATAGACAAGAGCTCTCTCGCGCGCGCTCTCTCCCTGTCTGTGTGTGTCTCTCTCTCTTTCTTTCTCTCTCTGCTGTTTTCCTCCTCGCATCCCCAACCTGCCGGAGCAGCCCCAAAGCTCCCTCCCGCCAGGCATCTACTGCCACCCGAGCCACCTGGGAGGACGGGGCTGGGGAGCATTCGGGTCGGGCGGGGGACAGGGCGGCGGGGAGTAGAGATTCGGGCTCCGACCCGCTCCAGCCCGCCTCCGCAGGCGGGAGGTGGGTGTTCGCGTCCCGACGGCCTCCCCCGCCCGGGAGAGCGGCGGCTGGGCAGGCCGGCGGCTGGCGGGAGGAAGGTAGGAGCCGGGCGCCCCGGCTCGCTCGCCCGCCGGCGGGGAGGAAGGCGCTGGGCGCGGTGGCCGGGGAGCCAGCGCGGGGAACTGCTTTGATTTTGCCCTCGCCTGCTTTACTGATTCAAATTGAATAATTTTTTAAAAAATCCACCATAAAAGAAAATAAAGCCCTGAAATCGTTACCGGGCTGCGGCTGGACCTAGACTCGCACGGCGCGCGCTGACCCCGCGGGTTTCGTTTTCGGCACCTCCCGCTCCAGAGGTGCGAGGCGGGGAGTAGCGTCTGCGGGAAAGAGCCGAGCGTCTGGCCGCCCCGCCCGGACCCCGCCGGACTCCCCACCGGGCCCGCCGGGGCTGGAACCTCCGCTGCGCGGGAGAGGGAGTGGCAGGCGGGAGCCGGTCCGAGCAGCCCCGCCTCTGGGGACGAATACTGGTGGTGAACTTGGCTGGGGCAGCCGATTTTCTTTTTAATGGTATTTACCTGCACCCCATCCTCTCTCACATTTGCTTTTTCAGGACAGCCTCTTCTCCGCTTCAGAAGCCTGGCAAATTAAAATGACGCGCCCGCTCCCCCGAAGGCTGCGGGGCAGGGAGCTGGGGCGGCGGGGCGGAGCTGCTGGCCTAACCCCCGCCAGCCCCGGGCTGGCCACTTTCGGGCGTTCAGGGTTTCCCTTTTCTTACCCTCGGATTACATTACACTACTAGACGGTATGTTTAAAATTTTATTTTGAGAGAAAGAGACCCCGGCTGCCTGAAAACCCAGGCCGAGCCCATTTGGTACAACCACAACGCGGAGCTCTCCAGCGCCGGAGGAGGCCGGAGGCCCCGAGGTTCGCAGCCCCAGGCCCTGAGCCCGCTCAGGACGCCTCTCCCTGAGGATCCCGGGGCCCAAGTACAATTCTGAGAACTGTGGAACTTCATCCTTTCATTTTAGATTCTCCTGCCTTTGCTTGATGGAGTCGTGTGTAAGTATAGTTGATTCCTAACTTGGTTTCCCGGGCTTAAATCATTCAGTACTGTATGTTGGTCTGAGAATCGACCAAGTTGATGGAATCGCACAGAAACTCATATGTAGAGTCTCTCTGCCATGTGGTTGTGTGCTTAGTGTGCCTATGAAGTGCCCTAATCAGGTGGCTATGTCCCTGGTAAGCACTTTGTACTTGTGGATTGGAGGTGCGTGCCTCTGTGTCTTGTCAGAATTGTGGGTGCTTGTGTGTGCTTGCTTGTGTGGACGCAGCATGGATCTGTGCACAGCCCCTACTTGCAGCCACACTCTGCATGTGTGTGCGTACCTACGAGGCTGAAACCAGCCTGAGGACACATCAGCAGAGGCTAATAACTGTCCAAAATATCTCCTCCACCATCATCCTGTGGTGCTCGTGCATGCCTCCCAGGATCTCACGGCTGAGTGGAATATATTTTCTGCCTCCACGGGGGAGTTTAGGAAGAGTAATTTCTGCTTGAGGTCTCTCTTTTTCTCCCTGCCCCCAACCCCCTGGAAGCAAAGCCTTGACAATGGCAAGGGGAAGGAGGGCAGCTGGAAAAGAAGGGAACTTCTCCAGGGAGGGCTGCTGAGGTCCATCCTCCTCTTCCTCCTACCACCACCCCAGCCACCCCCAGGGCCAAGTGAATTATTCACAGGTATTTAATTATTCATATTATTATTAATAATAATAGCCAATACATAAATAAAAGCAGTCCCTGGGCAGGAGCGAGTGGGGGAGTGGGCTTGTTAATGAAAGGGGACTCTGGCTATTTCAGAAGCCTTTGAAAACTCCTCCATCCTGTGAAGTGCCAGCTCCCTCCAGGACTGTTTCTCTGCTCCCTGCACCAGTCCCCTCCCTGCGTGTCTTCCTGCTTGGACAAAGCTGTGGAGAGCTCCTTCTTCCTTAGGCAGAGGTTCTTCACCCTCCCCTCTCCCCCACCTGAAGATGGCTTATTATGGACTTGGGCTATCTCCCCTTAGCAGGTAGCACATCCCTCACCCCTCAGGTCTCAGGCAGGTGTAGAGTATAAGTCCCCCACCCCCAGCTTGCTGGGGCAGAAGTGACCAGGACACCGGGTCCCGCTGTAACTGAGCTACCGGGTGTACAGCAGCAGAGGCAGCTTCTGTCAAGGCATTGATTTCTTAACAGTGAAGAGCTGAATCTCTTAGGCTCCCACCTCTCCTCCATAGCAGAGTTTTGGGGATAAAATAACACAGACGGGTGTCTCCAACTAATGCAATAAAAGAGCAGGACCCCTGAGAAAATAGTACGGAACATGATTAGGTTGACTCTTTGGTATCCTCATCCTTTATATTCTAGGAAGACTTGAGTTAATTTTTTTTAGCCTTAGATCATCAAAGAGAAATGTAATTAGAGAAAGATGGGGGCAAAGTATTACTCACGGTGACATTTAAGCAGGTTTAAAACTTTTTCTCCAAGTGCCACTTCATGGCCACAATTATTCCATCCCCTGAGAGAGAGAGGGAGGAGGCTGGCAAATGGAAGTGGGGGCTGGGAACAATTGTTCCCCTTTTCTCTCCACATTTGGGGTTTATCTTTTGTTTCTGATTCATCTTTGGAGGTGTGAGGAAGTCCTGTTGGGGGTCTTGAGTCAGGTGGGCTGGTTACTCATACCTTGTCATGTCTTCTGCTTCCTCACTTCCCTTCGCTTCTCCTCTCTTTCCTCAAGGAGGGAGGGAGCCCTCTGTGCCCAGCTTCCCTTCAGTGGAGCCACCCATCACTCATCACTGTCTTCCCTCTGGCACCCGCTGAGCCACATTCTGCAGCCCTGGCCGTGGCCACACACCCTCAGACCGATTTTGGCTCTCCTGCTTGTGACTCTTCTCTCTCCACCTAGATTGTGAACTCATAGGGGGCAGGAACCCAGTAATCTGGTCCCTCCTCCTCCTCTGCAGCTCCTCTGGACCGTGATGGGCACACAGTTGGTGCTCACGACTGAGTTTATAAATACCAATGGCTAAGCTGACAGTATCCTTTCGTATGGGCTCTAAGGATGGGTAGCTGCAGTGCTTCAGGCTGACACTCTCCCAGAAGGAGTTCAGGGTCGGAGAACCTGGCACTTTAGAATACCCTGGCAGCTCAGCCTCGTGGGTCTGCACTGCTTGGCTGGGAGGCATACCCACTCAGCCATTCTTGGGTTCATCCAGCCTTTCTGAGCTCCAGAGAGAGGACAGGCCTGCAAAGAGCTCACTGTCTAGTTAGACCAAAGTCATACCAAGTGAAAAGCCCCAGAGCAGCAAACGGCAACAGATGGTTAAATGTCTTCCAGGCCTGAAGAGTTCCACATAGGAGAAAATAGAAAACAATCCAAGTCGCGTGTGATGATCTGCAGTGGGGGTAGTAGCCTGGAGGAAGGAGGGGCGCCTGTGAAGGCAGGAAGCAGAGGGTGCCAGATTTGCGGAGAGCCGATGGATGGCTTGGACTCAGGACTAGGAGGGAAAGAAGCAGCGAGTGCTCCAAGGTTATGTTGAGACCACTCTGAAAACAGCTGTGACCAGAGAGGCCAGACCTCCAATTAACCATTGCTACGGAGTGACTGCTTTGCCCAGACCCCAGAGGGCAGTGAGGGCAGGCTGGAGTAGGGAGACTCCCTTGCTCTCTGCAGAGCAAAGATATGTCGTTTGGGCAAAGAGACTGACTCACACAGATGCGTGACCATCAAGGGAAAGATCCAATGGAGGGGCAGAGTGAAAAGAGTAGTCTGTGTGGGCCATGGGCCCCTGAGAAGGTGGAGCTCCTGTGGGCAGTGGCGCTCAGGGAAGGCCCGCTGGAGGAGAGAGCCCCAGTGGCCCTGCAGGAGGGGGCGATTCTGCTCGGAAGAGAGGAGGGAGGCAGCCTTTCAGATTGAGGCATTGCCAGGCCTGGCATGAGCAATGGGCTCTGGGTTCTTGCATGCCAGTCAGAAGGAGGAGGCGCCATGTGGGTGTCAGTTGGGTAATTAAGATGGGGCTTTGCAGGCAGCCTAAGAAATATGTGGTCTGCTCTCTAAGCCCAG